CTTTAGATTCTCCAGATTCTTTTTTTTAATTTGAGATACAATGAATGTTGGATCTAAATCTTACCCCAAATTCCACCCAGTAGCTTTATAAATGTTATGGCAAGTTCCCTGAACAAAATTAAGAGTATCTCAAAATTTTCAAAATGACTTAGTGCATTTGCAGCTTAAGTTGACTTGTTGTTTATATGCATTTAGCCCTGCAATCTATTGTTTGAACTGTTTCTCTGAAAATTTGTATCTATTTAAGCAGATGTGCCTAACTTAAATTTGTGTTCCACTTTTATCTTAAAAGTAGTATCAGAAAGAAATTGTCTGACATTTACCTCACTTCTCTTATTGTAAGCTCAGTTTAGTAAATAATCTTTATGAGTCCAGATCAGAACTTACATATTCTATTAGAGCATATCACAGACATTTTCTGAATTGAAATCTGAGGACCTGCATGTTCCTACAACCATATTCAGAGAAATAATACTTTTTAGCTCCCTTCCAGAATTAACAAAATAGAAGGCAGTAATAAATTGTCCTTTCAAATTTTGAGACTGAAGAACTAGAAATGTTGAGAATACAGACCATATCCATAAAGTATAACAGCTCATTTGGCTTAGACAAGCAGATTTATTGTTTGTTTTTCTGCCTAGAAAGAAAAAGTTTGGTGTGTTCTGCATTTGACAGAGAGCAGTCAGCAGTATCTCCTACTCCTAGCCATTAAATTGTACTTGGGACCTTTTGCTGACAAGATGAATTTATGGAACTTATATGGATGGAGAGGGAGTGGAGTTGAGTGCTGGACTGTCCAGCGCTGATAATCTCAATCTTTAAGCGGACCCTCGAGCAACTTGAATTGAGACCTTTTATCAGGTCTTCAAAGACTATAAAGCATAAAAAGATGCTACTAACTATGGTATTCTTACATATTTCATGACTCTGCTTTTTTGTCTGTTTATCTGTAAGTCATACTTTTTCATAAAAAGAGCTTGGCCAGCTTTATAAGACTAGAGCGTGAGCTTGTGGGGTCATCTCTTAAAGCTCTGTGCTCCCACAAAGCTCTGTGCTGCCACTGGAACTAGGTAAATTATAAAGCAGTCTTGCTAATCCAGGGTGTTAAGGACCAAGCCTGCCTTCTCAGAATCTGGAAAGACAATCAGAATAGATCTAGGCTGTACCTACTCGAATATCAAGTTCTTAAAAGCTCTAACATTTTCTTTCACTTTTCTGTCTCCTATGCCTTATTGTTATTGAACAGGAACAGAGTATGATACGTATTCAGATTCCCATCCTGTAACTTTCATTTTGAGCATAAATTTCTATGCTGCTTATTTTCTCAGAGAAGTACAGTTGCATGCTTGAATTAGCTAATAGGAAAAAAAATGAGTTAATACAGTTAGTCTCACCTGCCAGTTTTGCTCCTTCAGTACAGATCAGATACACTAAGTGTGCAAGCAAGAGATTTCTCACTGCATGCATAAACCTGCAGAAATGCATTCCTAATAATGCTGCTGGCCAGTGACGTGTCGCATGAATGACAGATAAACTGGTAGTGGTTTACAAGCCTACTGTGTACTGTTTTCTGAAAATTGGCTGTAAAGCAGCAACATTCTGCTTTGATATTCTGTGATACAGGTCCTGTATATCTGTAGGGTTTTCTATTCTGCAGAGGTAAGTGAACAGTCTCTGGAACACTGGTGCTGGGTCATCAGCTGCTCATCTGAGTGAGGAAATAAAAAGACAGAATGCTTTAAAGAGAAAAGAAATAGCTTTTGACAATCCACTGTTGTGGAACACAAAAATCTGTCATTCATATGATTCCTACAGACTGACAAAAAAAAAAAGCTAGTTAAATCCTCAAATGAACCTTGACTACTATACTGATGGGCTCAGGACATATCTGTCCTTTTGCTACATACTTCTGAAGTAAAAAGAAAAATAGATGGAAGTAGTGTCTACCTTTCCTGAAAAGAAATAACTACTTTGTGTTAAGGGTCCTTCTGTTATAAAAAGTTTTCCTATTGAAACATTCTGCAGCATTACAGATTGCCTATTATTTCTTCAAAATGCATTTTAACTAGCCATTATCCTTTTTGCGTTCAGAAATGAAAATTTTCTATTACTTCCCTGTGGAAGTTGGTACTGAATTAGATAGTGGTATCTTTTAATTTTGTTCAGTTTTAAAGTGTTCTATTTTAAAGTTTGAATTACTGGAAACATGCACTTATTTTCTTTCAAGATATCTACCAGGAAGGTGGGATATTTTACAGTAAACCTTGTCGGCATAGCCATTAAATGACTGTGGAAATGTGAAGGGAGTAAAAAGAGACTTTGCTTTTATTTCATATTTGAAAACAACATTTAGAGGGTTAGAAATCCATCTAGCTGAAATTCAGCAACTATTTTTTTTGACAGCTTGTTGCAAACTGCTGTAAAACAAACAAACATACAAAAACTAACAAACAAAAAACCACAGAGGGAGAGCATGGCCTTAATTTGAAAATCGGCAGTGACAGATTTCAAAGGTTCCCTACTGCTGTGTAACCAGTCCACTTATTCCTCACTAATTTTAAGATACTCTTTTCCATGTAATTCACAAATGATATGGGAACTGTCCAATCTGGGGTGTTATAAACCAACTATATTTCATTTTATCTTGCTTCTCCAAACTTTCACTTTTCCAATGGAAAATGATTTTCCTCCATGCTCCAATATGGTTTGCAGCAGTAGAATTTCCTGATGCAGCAATGAGTAGGCAGGTGCTGACACCTGTACTTCTGAGTGTAGCCATGGCAGTTAAAGACAACAAAACATTTGTTTTCCTAATCACTCTGCATATTTCTTTTCTCACCTTTTTAACAGTTCACTGCTTCGCATCTAGTCAATGTATCCTCAGAAAGCTATGGACAACATCTTAAACTGCAAAATGCTTTCAGCAATGTTCAAACTTTGGAACATCCTGGACTGTAGCTCTGTCAGATCAGAAAATGAAAATGTTGTCATGCTTTTAAAGCATTTCATTGCATTTGAATTGATAGATCTTTAGATAGAAAGTCATAGTGCTACCTATAAAAGTGTTTATCTACCTTGTGAGAGATGGGAGCTCTTGTTGCTATTGTCTGATTCTGCTGCTTTCACTTGCTTGTATTAGCTGCAGATCGTAAGCTTATGACAAAGAAAGAAATGAAAAATAAATTCATATTATGAGGCGCATTTCAAGTAACCCTGATGAAGAATAACAAAACCATTCAGAAGACTCGCATTATTTTTCTTTTTCACCCATGGCTGAGTGCTTGTGACTGTAAAGGTCAAAGGATTTGCAAACTCAAAAATAAAAATCCTGTATTCACTTGCCATACTTTGACAAGATTATGAGCAAGCGAATTCACACCATAGTTGAATTGGTTTTGTTTTATTGAAACAGATTGCTGGTACTACTTGTATTAGAGAATTAGATTTATTGAACTGCTTGGGATAAGAAGATGCATATTTTGCTTTGGAATTACTGGGATTTTAAAACAATTGTTGAGTTTATTTAAAGTAAATAACTTTCAACTCCTCACAGATACTGATTCCTTAGTTTTAAAGCCTTGCATATTTCACTTAATGCTGTTTTGTACATGCGAAGTAAAATGAGCAATAAATGAATTTACCATTTTATATTTTTCTTTGTGCCATCTCGGAGATCTACAAGAGAATCCTGAAAGTGTTTGTGAAGCTGACATATCTATCTAATGGGACAGTATAGAATTGCGCCTGAAATGATCAAGCAACTTTGAAAGCAGCCTTAGGCACATTGTGTTGCAGTCACCTAATGCCAGTGAATTATGTACAGAGGAAGATATAAAGTATGGTGTACTATGATTTTTGCTATATTTGAAAAGAAACGTGGCAGGACCTGCACTATACCAGGAAAATAAATAGTATGCCCACACTGATTCAGACTAATGATGAAAGTAAATGAGACATGAGTGAAGTGATAACTCCCCTTTTTATCACTCCCAGCTTCTGGCAAGCTCTGAATGAGGACCTTCACTAATCATATGTCCTATCTTTGTGTTTAGCAAACCAGAATTTGCTTGAATTTGCTTGTTTTCTGAATCCATGTATGATTCTGTCACCTACTTTCCAATTACATGCTGAATGAAGAAGTACATCTTTTATTTTCATCCTGTTGTCCTGATGTTCTCTTTCTCTCATACTTGAAAAAAAAAAATCAGTAATCATACTTTCTTCAGGTTATTGTCTTGCCACTATGTTCTTCCTCTATCATCTTCTTGGCAAGAACCTTGTCCTTTTAGTAGCTCTCTGTAGAAAAACATCATGGACCCTTCTCACTCCATTAATTCTTAATATTCTCTGTATTTTTTACTTGCTTTTTACTGCAAGTGAAACATGAAAATGTGATAGTTTTACAAGGCAGATGAGCAGGGAGGTAATTTACAATCATGTTTGTGTGCATTATTTGTTGTGTTAGTTACAATCACGAAATGTTATCTAGCATTTATACTATCATGGATAGGGATTAATATGAGAAGTTTACAAGAACAGTATGATGGGAGTTTTTGAATTTGTGCAAACAGACCATCTAAATATTGTTACATTTTAGTATTTCTCTCTGTGATCTATCATTGTGTAAGTTGCTTGCAAAGAGTCAATGAAATTTATAGGATTTAACTCCTAGGAATAGCAAACAGCTACACTGAAATGTATTCATGTGTATTGAATATCTGCAGATGCTAAGAAAACCATGAAAGATTGTTTTAAGAACTCTAGGTAAAATTGGCCAGATTATTCTAATAGAAACATTGTTTTTCATGTTAAGGTAGAGTTGGGATAATACAATCAGAAACTTGCATAAACTGTATTAAATTCGTACGATTTACTGTTTAGTGTATGAGTCCTATATGGATTTGGTTTTAATGAACATCTATACATTGAATAAGCTTTTATTAAAGGTTATTTTTTTATCCACTGATTTATCTTGAAATTTCTCTCAAATACAAGGGCAGTGTGGGTTCTTGAGAAGTTCTACATTGCACCTTCAATCTGAGATGATCTCATCTGCCATTTGGCAAAGAGAAGCATCTCTCTTAGAAACTCTCGAGCTCTTGTGGACACTGGTATTCAAAAGAAGATTTGATATGGTTAGTGTTCTGCTGTTGTTTCTTTTTCTTCTGATTTGTGCTGTTTTTTCAATATTTAAAACCTAGCTTCAAGAAGTAGGAAAAAGATATTTTATATTTTTCTCCCTGGCTTTGTTAGAGCTTCAGAAGGGACTTATTTTTAATCGTGATTCCCTGTCCAAAACAAACTGAAAATAGAATGAAGGCACCATTTACAGGAGGTGTAATAAAGTCTGCTACGGTACTATTCGTACTTTAGGAAAACAGAGTTGAAAATGAAAGCCAAATATATCTACAGCGTCTTTTCCTTAGCATCCTAAAGAAAAGAAAATGGTGTGAGGTGGTAAACACAGAAAATTGAGTGTTTTTTATACCTACTATTGTTGGAATCAATAGGATTGCAAATGGCACAGACACAGTACTATTGTAGTTGGATAGAATTCAGTATTCTAAAAAAGCTAAGTGGATGACAAACTCTCTTAGTTGTTTCTATTGAAAGTTTTGTCTCTGTATTTACTTTGTATAAGATATATATAGACAGACTGTCATATTTCTACTCTTGGCTTCAGCTGTCTTAAAAATTATGTTCATATTTACTTATATACGCATGTATTTAAGTTTCTACACCATTCTTTAATATATGTCTAAGATAAGCTATTAGGATTCAAAAATCTTAGTCAGCAAAATATATTAGTTTGCTAAGGAATATTTACAATTCATGCTTAAATCAGTTCTTCCTTAAAAGTCATCAAAGTAAGAAACTTCAAATATTTCTTCAAAACTACAACCAACTTACCCTATGTTAACTTGTCCTTAATTTGGTGCTATCATTACCCATATTTTTTTATGAACCTGAAAGCTACAAGAGCATGTACTAAAAGACATGCAGGCAGATTGGAAGGATTTGTGTTCACGCTATTATATTTCATTATTTCTAAGATAGAGATGTATTCATTCGCATAAAGGGACTATTTCTAAGGATGGTGTAAGGAATGCTACAGTTTTAAAAGCTATGCTATGTCCTTGGAAATTTTCTGTAAGCAAGTGGCAGCTATTGTGGAAATAAAAGCTGCTTCAGAGTCTATAAAGATAAACCATTTCAAAGGAATGAGACAGACCACTAAAATTATGATGAATTCTGTTAGGTTATTATAAAATGCCTTTATTTTTCCATGAACAAATATCAGATTTTCATGAAACAGGGAAAAATGCATTAAAAACAGCCATCGCTGTATCATACAGATCATACGGATGGTACCAAATCTCACTCAGAAAGCAAGGGAATAGGAAACTCTTCTATAAAATTAAAGTACAGGAGAAAGCATTTGAAACACCTAGCTTTGGGACTCAGATCTTTTAGCTGGCAGAGCATGAAATTATTTCAGTGGGAAGGAGAAGAGATTATTCACTATTTCCTGAGGTGAAGTCCTTAAATTTCCATTAATTTGGGGGCTTTTAAACTGAGCTCCCAGAAATAATGAAGACTTCAATTTAAATTTATGTAATTTACTTCATAGGAATGCATTCCCAGTTGCCATGCTTTTGAAGGCTGCATTAGAGATTTTAATATTTAAACACTTTCTGTATAATTAATGTGCATATACACATCAACACACATATATTTATAAATTCATTCTCCTTATCATGGCCTCAATTTTTTTATTTAAGAAAGTATTAAGCTAATTGAAAGGACGGTTAATATTTTGAGTTCTGACAGGTATCGGTTTATGAAATGTTTTAGTGGATTAAAAATTATGTTTCTGTTGTACTGTTATAGGGAAAATTAAACACTTGAAGAATTAAGCATTCTGGATAACCTGAAAAAAATATTGTTTGGTAATATTCTGTGCAGAGCTATACTTTTGGAAAATTTTAACATTGAAAAATGAAACGATTCATTCCTATCTTGTGTTTTAATTCCTCTCCTTCTTCCTTTTGTTTCAGAGGATAAGGTAAGGAAGGATTCCATTACCCTCTCAAAACAGGAATTCTCAGAAATCACAATATCAATTTTGTTAACTCTAAGCAGGCTAATCAGGCTGGAGAACTTCCTAAGAATAGAAAAACATAAAATTTCTTATATTTGAAGCAATAGCCACTAGGCATACCTGTATAGCTCACTGTGTTCATTAAGAAAGGATTCTTCCATCCATAATGTCAATGTTTGCTCCTCACTTTGTCTTGTTAAATACTTCCCAACTCTTAACCTGGAAGGCTTTGATTGAAAGAGAGACAGAATGTGTGATAACTGCTTGGGTCACAGAAATTCCTTCCAGTAATTCCTTCAGTGTTACATTTATGTACTCACGTAGTACCATGAGTAACAGTAGACTAAAAAGAAGCATTACTTAGTAAAGCTTGTATAAAATTATTTTGCCTGAGATTTAGTAGCCCCACCCCCCCAAGTGCCCTATCAGAACACTGTTGTATAAATCTAAAGGGAAATTTTCATGAGATTGCAATTATCCAGTTGGATTCTGTCTATCAAATCATTTAATGATAAGTGTATCATAAAACTCAGTGGCCTTGCAGGGTTAATGCTTACATTTAGTGAAAAATAAATAAACAAATACATCCCAACAATATGCTGCTTTCTTTTTCTCCTTTTATCAAGGTCAGTACAGACTGAGAGCAGAAGAGTTTTTTAATAAGTCACTGCAAATAAAAAAAGAAATAATAATGATAATAATAAAAAAAAACATAAAAGAGAAGAAAAGCTTTAAGCCAAGAGGGCTTTCTTCATAGTCCTTTTTTTTTTTTTAATCTAAGCAAGACTTCTGCTGAAAATACGATTTCTAAGGAAACAGACTATTGGATGAAATGGCCTTACTCTCTATTCTTGTTTTAATGCACATTTAAAATGGAACAAGAAACTTTTATCAATTTTTATCAATTTTCTCCTGGGTTTAATTCTGGGGCTGAGATAAATCAAGCAGCAGAGACTAATTCCAGACTTTACATGGAGATTAGCGGCACAGCCACTACACTCCTCCAGACAGAGTGTTCTTCATCTTTCATCAACTATATTCAGGACAAGGGTTATATCTCAGTGCTTATTCTTTGCATTTTAATAGGTATGAAAGTGGTCTGAAAGGTGCTACCGTAGTGCACTAATTAACAAGTCTACACAGTATCAAAGCATGATTGGCCTAAGCAAGTTTATCAGGTAAATTCAATTTTTTCTTATAAAATAAATAAAAGAAATCTTGTAAAACATGGATAGGTATTCATATTTAGTTTTCAGTCCTTCTCTGCTAAAAGCAGTCACTGTAGACTGATATGGGGTAATGGGGAAAAATAGATTCTCTTATATCATTTGTCTCTACTTTTTCAAATATGATATCATATTTCTTTTCTTTAGTCTCATTAGTACTACTAACTTCTGAGATTTACTGCCCTCTTCATCTGTGCTGCATGAGGCAACTTAGAAGTTTCAACTTTATGAACCATTGCTGCTAGCTGTACCTAATTCATGAGAATCAAAATACTTTTTGCTACTTCTTGCCACCTTCTTTGTCCATTCTGTCTGTCTTGGCAGATAAGAGAAGTCTTCATATTTACTATTCCAACTTGTCACTGCCACTGCTGAAGACTTCTTTACTTTCACTGCATTATTCTACTGAAGATGACAAGCTGGCATGTCATTTTCATGAACTGCTTTCAAGATCTTCTAAACATGACAGTCTGCTGAAATGCTGTCGCAGGTACAATATTAATACCTCTTCCCATTAATGTCACAAACTGTGGAGGTACGTAGAGCAGTGATGGGTCAGACTGTGGTGATGAAGATACTTCTCTTACACTTCAATAAAGCGGATTGCTTTGGCAAGGCTATTGACATAACTGGATTCATGGAAAGTAAATTTCTGAAACAGCCAAATATGTTTATTTGCAAATGTGATGTTATCTCAAGAGAACAAATAGAAAACAGTCTTGCTAGAAGAGACAACATTCTGGGTATCAAGATGCATCTAAATTCAAGTGCTCCTTATGAGACAAATAATAGTTCTCCAGCTTCCAAAGCCAGTTATTCACTGAGGCTCACTACAACTGTCTGCCTCTGTTAAACGGAGGAAGCAGTTAATTTTATGACAATCAAGCAGATAGATTTAGCTAGAAATTCCTATTTTGTTCTTTGGATTGAATAGTTTATTTTGAAAAACTGTATTACTTTATTCCCTATTTTCACAGGGTGGTTGTTAATTAATTTGTAGTATGCTGTACTGCAAATGACTTGAAATGCATACCTCCATACATGTATCATAGTTATCCTTTTCTGTGATAATAAAAACATTGAGGGCCACAACTGGAAGTGTAGGCTTTTTTCTTTTAGTCCTGTGCAGATAGCAAGACTAGTTTTATAATGAATACACACACAGTAATTTCTGTCTGCCTAGGAACAACCTGTAAAAGTGAAACCTTGTAGTTGTTTCTGAATACATGCACTCTACTTTTCACATGACATCTTCCAGCTATTTCCTTCAACCCACCCTTAGTGAAAAATTTACTGAGAACACTCATGCTGATATCCGTACTTTGCTCCATGACAGCCACATGTAGCATGCTTGTATTGAACATATAGGAGATGCAGGCTTGATATTTCTGTAGTGACCTGACAATTTTCTTAAGGCTAAATAGAAAAGATTACTGAGGCTACCTCTAGTAATCACACAGGCAAAGCAAACATGAATTCTTCTTGTCTTTCCTTCCTGAAGAATTATACATAGGAATGGGTTGCTAAGGTAAATATACATAGTATGAATTTCATTAAAGTGACATAGAGACAAAAAGTGTTTTCTGAATAAATAACAACAGGTAATATTCTACAATTAGTAAAATAAATAAAGAGAAACAGAATAGGTAAAGTTTATTGAATCTCCTTTATGTTATTAATCAGTAATTGTAAGGATTTGAAGATAATCAACAGCTTTTTTCCAGTGAGTTGCTACAAAGAACAATTCCTGAGTCATCAGAGTTTTATGTATTTCATTTAAAATTTCTTCCCACTTGATGCAGCAGAGATCTGTTTTATATTCTTCATACAAGCATCTCTGCAGAATGAAACTAAATAATCACCTAGGTTGACCTTTTTTTTTTTGAGAAAGAGCTTGGAAAAAAAATCACATAGAGGTTATTCTGAACTGCATTTAATATTAGACTTGTGCTTTCATATGGACGGTAGAGAGGCTGTTAGAAAATAAGTCAACTAGGCTGGTATTCACAGAGGACAGCCTGCAGAGCATATAAGTAAGTTTATTTTTCTGTTTGTATAATTATTTATTTGCTGCTGCTACTCTTATAGTAGAACACAATGCAAGCATACCAAGTAAAAGTTGGGAGCATAAATAATAACAAGCTAGTGATTTCATGGCTTGTCTGAAGAGCCTGCAATATTTTAAACAATGCAAAAGAGCAAATGATAGCACAGAAACTAAAAAGGTCAAAAGGTAGAAATAAATATATTTTTTTTTCTTAAGATCCTAGTTATCATTTAACTACTTTTAACCCAAATAATCTAAGAAGCACTGGAACGCAATGAGTAGTGTACTCATTTTTGAAATGATAGAGTTCTAATTCGGTTGACCAACTGCCAAGTTCTATAGCAATGGATATGTGAAATTGTATTTTATTGTTTCATGATGACCAGAAAGTGGAAACTACCACAAGTTAGCCTTATTATTAGAAACTGCTTATCACACTTGTTTTGGTTTGCTTGCTAAATTATAATATAATTGGATCTCTGCACTGATTGGACATAAATATTTTTGGAAATGGAAGATATCCAGAAACTTAATTTTATATCCATTCTCATTTATGTAACTGCAATCTCTTACATCTGGTGTAGTTTCTGTATCTCTCAAAGATCAAGAAAAAAACTGTATAAAGACATAAAGTAGTCACAGATGACAAGTGGTTTGGAAATTATTCAAATTTGGTACACAAATAGTTCATTTCAAGTTATTCTAACTATGATGATTCTGAAAATATTTATTGATTTCATTTGTATCTGTAGCCCAGCTGCTGCTTGTTTGCTCACAGAATTCTTAAAATCATAGCTGATAGCTTTTTTAGAAAATGCATTTAGAAGTAAGATGATGAAACTGCAGTATAACTATACCAAAACAGAGACCCAAAAATGACTCAGAAGCTTCATTTGCTAGTATATTCCCTTCTCATACACTTTTCTTAACCAAGGTTGTGCCGCAGTATTCAAGACTTCTTGTTTAGCTTGTAGTCAACAGAAGCCCTTCTAGGCATGATGCAAAGTAGAGAATTTGACCCTTCTCTTACTGCTATGCTTGTAAACTGGACAGATTTTCCTTCTGTGTTGAAATTTAAGTTCCTTGGTCTGTGAGTATTGCTCTTGCCCTTATTTGTTAATGTTGTGATTTCTTTACACCTCATGGTCACGAGGCTGCTATTAGATGCTCAAACTGCTCCCTTTAGATATGTTTGTATAGAAAAAAAAAGGGATGCATATAATTTGCAGTGCCTGCAGACATGCTGTGCAACCCCTACACCTTTTGCACAGACATTCCAAGACAACAGCATGCAGAGCAGTTGTGATGGCAACTCATTCCTTTGCAGATCATGTCCTAGCAGGACTCCATGCATAGGATGATCTACCTTCCCAAGCAGATGTTTCCATGCTGGCAGATATGACAATGCACTGGAACAGAGCTAGCCGCATATCTACAGTAATCTGCTAAGAATGGGAGTGAAAAAATGCTAGTAAAGTTTGGAAGAAGCTGAGTGTTGCATTCTGAGAGAATATGTTGTGCTACTGGTATTTCTACCATAATTCTATCATGCCAGCTTTGAACAGGAGCAATTGGAGAATTCTGTACAGTTGAAGTTTGAATGAAATTCCCTTTGACAACAGCCAGCAGAATATCATTCTCATTTGGTCTGTATCTAGTGTTTGTCATGTTACTGGCAAATAAGATTAGGGCATGTTATTCATACTGTTGGATGATTACAAGCTGCTTCTGTTGTGCAACTATTTGGACTGCCTGCTAGATGAATTGCTCCTGTAGCAGCAAAATGTCCCCTTGTCTTCCATGTTACTGGCACTTTCAAGTTATTTGCAAAGGGGGAGTAGGAGGGAAAGTGGAACTTTGGGAATTGTAGTGGATTAGAATGAAATTGCCTGTCAACCAAGTTATTCATTCATTGTAGGGTGAGGAAGTGCGTAGGAAAGATAGGAGTTTTGTTTCACTGGTAGCTCTTGACTGACGATTTCTCATTAGTAAGTAGGTTGTTTGAAGAACACTTGTGTATCCCATGTGTGACCAGTATTCCAGAGAGGTCCTGGTCTTAATGTACTAGCAATGATCACAGTATGCATATTCTACCAAACTCACACCTTTAAGTTCATTTTCTTTTACAAAGCATCAGGTTTATGAAAGAGATTCCATGAGTTCGATTTTTTTCTTTATTGGTTGAACAGAGGCACCTTATGCAGTTTGTAGACCTTACAAGGACTACTTGCTTTCTCTTTGACATCTGTGCAACCACAGCTACCTTGTAACGAACTCTTCTAATATATTATGAAGTTTATCTTAAAGAACTGTAGATTTCTGGTCCTGATACTCTGTTAGAAGATTGTTTTGAAACTTTCCTCCTTGCTGTACATAATAAAAAGTCAGTGCTTCCTCAGGCTTTACTTTGTTTTGCCAAGCTGCTCAGAATAACAACAGAAAGAAAGAAAGAAAAGAAAAAACGACAAGCTCCTCCAGAATACATTTTTAAGGTTTGTAGGCTTATGAGGGTTTTCTCTAACTGCTTTTGCAGTGAACAGACACGGTTTGGGGTAATAAACAGTTTTATCAATATAGGTAAATGGTTTCTAATCAGATTAGGTTGCAAGGAGAACTTGCTAACATATGCATGTGAAAATACAGACACATATTCATAC